TATGTTGAGCTTTAAGGATTTTTCTCATATTGAGACTAGCCATGAATAAATTAACCAGTTAATACATTTAGTGTAAAGCAGTGGATCATATTAGTAGAAGAAAATAATGAATAACCTTACTGCTTGGTATAAAAATCTATTGAATGAATAAATCATTAACGTTTTTCACCCTCCCCAGGCTCCGGAGGCTTTCCTCGAGCCTCCAGGAGGGTGAAAACTGCTTTCCCCGGGGTCCGGAGGGCCTCCGGAGGCCAGAAACAGGGCCGTTTCTGAACTTCCAGAACCTCTGGTAGGCCCTTTTTTTGCCCTCCCAGATCCTCTGCGCGGCCCCTGCACTTACCTGGAATGATGAATGGGCTGCGTGGAGACTCCAGGGAGGGGTAGGATGGGAGGGGAGGGGCAGGGTCGATGTGGCCAGCCAGGGGTGGCATTTGGGGGTTCGCCAAACCCCAGCGATCCTTGGCTAGAGGATCGCTCGAACCCTGCCGAACCTCCAGTAGCCCACCCCTGTGTGAAGGTACTTGCATAGCAACATATTTTTCCCCCCAATTCTTCCACGGTTTCTGAGCTTTTGGGCTTTTTGTATATTTGCATTTTTATTTGAAAAATGTACTATTTTACTGAATAGGCAGTTGAGCCTTAGTACATTGTCAGATCTGTTTGAACAGAACAAGGCAAGTCAGTGGTTCAGAATTATATTGTCTCTTCCAGAATTTATAATTTTTAAATTTTATTTTAATTTATTGATGTGGTACTGTTAAGGGCTATTCCAGCAATAAAAATCTTCATGTTTTGAAAATGTATATGTGCAGAATATAATATTTTACATTTTGTTTTTCTTTAAAGATGACACTTGTTGACACCATCATTCTATGATTCTCCTAACAGAAGATAGTCCTACTGAGAAAATGAGCACTTTGATCATTCAGTCTTTGAACTTTAACCTCCTGACTGGAAATGATAAATAGGCAATGAAGACTACTTCCTTTGACTGAATTTTTACTAGTATGCATTCTGGGCGCATGTTGATCGCTGGTTCACACCATGCTACTGACATGCCTTTCGTAGTCATACAATGTTAATGCTGGAAAATGTCATTCAATTTTAACATTCAGAAGAATTCCAGGTCTTCATGTATTGTGCAATAATATGAATTTCTTGGTGGTTTTGGTATATCCATTGCCACAAAAGATTGTATCAGGAAACATATATGCTTTCCACACAATAGTTTAGATGCATGATAGGGCCTATGAAAGGTTTTAAGTATATTAGGATGATAAGTAACCTATCTTTTACTTTGAAAGCCACCTAATTTGTTTAGATATGGATTCTGTGCACTGTGATCATAAAACTAGCAGCATAAGTTAAAACATGCTTAACCAAGAAATTAATAAGATCATTGCATATTTACTGAACTGTCAGTGTCTTGACAAGCAAGTTTTTTCAAGTTATGTCAGCAGAGAGGTACGTTCTATGGTAGAATAAATATCTTTTGTTTGTGTATGTTATATTTCTGAAGAGAAGGTATGAATAAATAAGGCAGAAGTGGTTTAATCAAGGAAACCATGTTATAAAATAGAAACCGGTAGCAGTGATAAAACTGAATTTGCTGCAGTCCATGATTGGGCTTGTTAATATGTATACTAGAGCTATTTTCCAAGTAGATTGCACACTGTTATTTCATACTAGCCTTCAGCATGAGCCCTGTTGCCTACACAATATTTCATTTATTTATGTGTCTAGAAAGTTTTTGAGTTCACAGTTCCTTTTGTGGTCTTATATGTCATATTTGAATGTTCCAAAACAATATTTTCACTGAAAAGCTATCAGAAGATATTTTCTTGTAAATTATTTCTTTATTAACATTTCTCTTGTCTTTTAATTCTGTACCATAAAGGAAGAAATACATTTTGGACAGAGATGAACTGTTTTGACAAAAAGTGTGGATCTTTTTATTTAAACTTAAGACAAATATATATAAATATATATATTTTTCTTACCTTACTTGTCCCATACAGCCATAACAATTTTCCAGGTTTTCTTTAAAGATATGACAAAAACTAGATTTACCTTTTATATGGAAAAACAATTGTTAAACAATAGTGAATTGATCTTCACCTATATGTAATTTTATGATACTGGATCTAGGCTGTCTTTTTAGGAAGCAATGATGTGTCTTTTATAAACTTGCTACCTTTACACATATGCAAACTTTCTATTTCAATGCTCTTTTTAATGTTGCCTTATTGTTGCACTAAAAAAATCAAATCTAGTAGTCAATAAATGAATGTCTGAACTGCAGAGTAAACTTCTTACTTGATTTTTAAAGTAAGAATCATATAAGCAAAACAAATCTCCCAGGATTGGCTGAAAATACTCTAGTGTGTGTGGATTTTTTTTTAACTGCTGCATTGAATCTTACAAGTTTTATAGATATGTATATACTACAGTAGCTATAATATTTAAAATCAATATAATTGCTAAGCTCAGGGGTGGGAAGAAATCAAATGAAAGAAAAAGGTGTTCTGTCCAGGCACTGAATTTCAAATTATTGGTAGAGCAGTTTTAAATAAGGGTATGTTACCTTTTCTGTTTTGAAGATTATTGGCCTCTTAATCAAAAATAAGATACTGTGGGAAAACTTGTATATAGATGTTTATATTTCTTCATTGCATTATTAATGTTACTATAGTAATTTTTGTTCAAGCCAAAAATAATGTTGATGTTGAAATTTGTATTCCTTCTTGATTTTCTTCTAGCTCTTTTTCCATTTGTAAATTAAATTGTGAAAACATGTTAAGTGTATACATGAAGGGTACCACTAAATATTTAAATGGAATCTTCATAGTTTCACAACCCACAAAAACTATGTATTCATATGTTTAGATAATGTCAATCTGTTCTGTAATTCACTATGAAGGACCTTCATATGTCTGGAGGTTCAATTTTTCCATCTTAAAGATTAATGCAACTGTTTCCATATAATATCTGATTTTTAAAGTTGGTTACATAATCCATGCTTTAGTCTTGCATGTATTTTATTTGCCTATAGATTTCTCAGTTTGGATTAAATCAAAATTGCTCAACAAAATATTACCCAGGTTATTTTATACCATTCCTTGGGTGTGGAGGCTGTTTAAATATATAATAAGGATTTTAAACCAGAATTGTATCGTTTGGATTTTCATAAATTGTATTATCTCACACTAGGGTATGGAGGCAGAGGAAGAAATCAAGTTTTGCTTTTTTTGCTTTACCCTTAAATTCTGTTGTCACCTGAAAATCTGTTTTAGGAAATTAGGAGCTTACTGCAAAAGTATATGAAATGATGTAGTGAAAATGAAGGATTGATACAAATGACCATTCCTTTTTTTCATAAAAAATGGTGTCGCTGAAAAAATACATTCTCTACAACTGGTACATCCTGAGTTGATTCTGTGCCATCAACAAGAAGTTCAGGATCTTCTTTCTACTTAATCACATTTCAGTCTGCAGTATATACATGGAAGATGCCGTTTTGGGGGGGGGGTTTCCCTGGAGGCTGCCCATCATTATGAATTGCACTTAGTAGCAAACATCACATTTTATTATTCATTTTATATATGTGATATTTTGCTTAGAACATGCAAGGTAACTTACATAGAGATGTTCCTTAATTTTATCCTGGTTTTCAACCTGTGAGATGGATTGAATTAAAGGAGAATCATTGACCTTAATTCAGTCATTAAATTCCTTGGTTTCTGTTAATGTTAATGACTCGCCTCAATATCACTTTGAAGTTTTTATAGTCCACTTGTATGTTTTCTTCATTATTTTTGGTATCTTAGTAGCCTGACTATCTTTTCTAATATCATGAACAACTAAGAACCACCTGTCTTTGTATCAGTTTTTAGTTAAATCATCTTTTCCCCCCTTTGTGGCAAAAAAATGTCAGTTTATATATCTGTTTTCTGTTGTATAATACAATGTTGTGGATGAAAAGGACATTCTCTTACCTTCATGAGAAGTTTTCTCAGAAGGTCTGGATAAATAATATATTAAAAGTTATGAAACAATCAAATTGCTCAGCAATGCTGTTTGGATACTAATATCCTATTTTTTTCAGTGAAGATGGATGCTGTGAATTAATTCAATTTCCCTGCAGTCTCATGCTATCCTTAATTTCACTTTCTTCTAATCAGGAATCTATTTAGGAAATTTTCTTCAATGTCTGTAGCAATAGCCAACTATGATTGTATTTATTTTGCCAGATTCCTCTGTTGATAGCAATCTGAGGATTTCTACTTAGACCTTGACTGAACTACGTGTAGTGTGCTTTTTAATGCTGCAGTAGCAGGTACATCTTTTGTATAATCATACCTCATGCTTATTGTTATTAGATAAGCAAATACATGAATCCATTTTCACTGTTGCTGCTTACTTGAATTGGGTTGCTGGTTGTCAGATGGGAATACTTACCAAAACTAATCAGAATCAGATTAGAGCTGGAAGGGACCTTGAAGGTCTTCTAGTTCAGCCCCCTGCTCTAGCAGGAGATCCTATATCATTTCAGACAAGTGACTGTCCAGTCTCTTCTTAAAAACCTCAAGTGATGAAGCACCCACAATGTCTGAAGGCAAGCTGTTCCATTGGTTAATTGTCCTCGCTGTTAGGAAGTTTCTCAATTCCAGGTTGTTTCTCTCCTTGATAGTTTGCATCTATTGTTTCTTGTCCTGCCCTCTGGTGTTTTGGAAAATAAATTGACCCCCTCTTCTTTTTGGCAGCCTTTCAAATAGTGGAATACTGCTATCATGTCCCCCCAATCCTTTTTATTTAAATCATTTATGAAGATATTGAAGAGTACTGGGCCTAAGCCAGAACCGTGTGGTACCCCACTGCTTACTTCCCCCCAATGGATATGATACCATTAAGGACTACTTGTTGAGTACAGCTTGTTACAAATCCATTAATATAATCTACAATATTTGCAGTGAAGGATGAACAACGGGCAGGATAAAATAATATAGGCATTGCTAGTAATTTATTAAAATGTGATAAAATTGCTTATATATTAAGCCATTCCTATTAACATTTTCAAACCACCAGTTTCTTCTAGATGACATGGATCCAATTTTTGGTATTCAGTACTGTATCTTTCATGCTGTTTATAGTTCATGCCAATAAAAGAAGATGGGTGCACAGAGTAAAATTCAGTAGACATTTTTGCATTCAACTGCTAAACTGGAAAGCAAAAAAACAAGACTGTGACCTGGGAGATAGTGGTACAGTACATATTCATTCTCTCTCTCTCTCTCTCTCTCTCTCTCTCTCTCTCTCTCTCTCTCTCTTTTTAAGAAAAAGGATAACTAAGAAGGCAAATGAACTTAATATTTTTATATTCTTAAATTACTTTTAAGGCTTAAACCATAAATTGCTAAGGCTTTTAAGGAACTGGATGACAAATATAAAATAATCTGCCTAAAGATGTCTAAAAGCTGTATCTAGCTGTATTTTATATGATTTCAATTTATATCCACTTTTTAAAAACTTGTTTATTGGTGATACCACCACTTTTCATTCATTAGTACCAGGAAAGGCAGCCAATAGAAGCAAAATGAAACAAAATATAAACATTCAACATTCTAAAACAACTGAAATGTTGTGGCTGAAAAGATGTGGCCAATTGTTTTTCTAAAGTTTATTGGGTAGAAAGTTCTCTCCCCTAGAAAGTTTTTTCTCCTATCAAATATAAAATACTTTTGAAATGTGTTAAAGACTTTTTATAGATACATAGCTTAATTTGTATAAATGACATGACTTTTTCTCATTTTTTGGGGGGGGGAATTGCAATTTATCAAATGTAATCAGTTTATCTTACATTTATAATACATTGGTAGAAATCACTTGACTCACAGCTTGTGCTTAACAGCAAATAGTCCAGGAGGGCTTTTCCAAATTTGCCTTGTGCAGAAGTTGTGCCATTCTTAGATGAGAATATTCTTATGGAATATATGTGCCTTAATCAGTTGATTAATAATTGGATTAGTACAACATAATGAGGCTGCTCTGCAAGCCACTTTAGAATGGTCCAAAATACAACAGGGCAAATTGGTATGGGTGCACCAATGGATACCCATGTCATACTGCTACTTTGTGAACTGCATTGGTTACCAGTGAGCTTTCAAGCAAATTCAAGGTCCTGTTGATCATCTATAAAGCTTTTCAAGGTATAGGGTCTAGATATTTAAAGGACCATCTCTACCTATTGTTTCTGCCTGCCTTAAAAAGAAATATATCAGGACCAGCATGCTTGGGATTCCATCAATTAAAGAGTACCATCTTAGGGGACACACAAAATATGCTTTCATTGTTGCTGCTGCCCTTTGGAATGGTACCCCCCCCCTCAAAATCCCAATGACCCTAATCGCTGGCTTTTAAAAAGACATTTAAGACCTGGCTGCTCCCACAGGGTTGGAAAGGATAATGTATGGTCTTGCTAATTTCCAGGTGAATATAGTAGTTCGGCTTTTCCTTAGTTTGATCATATTTTGATGTTTAATGTTTGTTTTTTACTGCTTTGAACCACTGCAAATTGTCCAGAATCATTGAGTGAGTGGTCTTAGATATTGACCAAATAAATAAATCTTCCTGCAGAATATACAGACTGCTCGTTACACCATTGCAAAACAACAAGTCTGTGAGCTTTGCATAAAAACAACCAAAAGCTCCACAGACTCACAGTTGATGATGGAGGCAGACGTGTACCATGACAACGATTAAGTCATAAAGAAGTCATTTGAGGAGTGAAAGATATGAGGGATATACTGACTGATATTTCAGTCACTAGTGAGGGGAGATGGTGAGAGGATGCCAACAGCTCTGCCCACTGTGGTCCAGGTGATAGCAGAAAAGAGTCAGGTAGGGGAAAGGCTGATAAATTGCTTGCTAGTTGCTTGGCTTGAAAACATGCATCTTGTAGCAATAAACTCCAAATGGGAAGTCCAGCTATGGAGAAATTGCAGCAGCGAACAACGTAAATAGAGGGTAGTAGCAAAGGAAAAGAAGGTGCCCATGTTCTTCCTTCTCTAGCTTAAACTCTTGCAACAGCAGCCCAACAGTGATGTTAACTTACTAAGGGCTGTGTTTACATGATAAGTCCAAGTTTCTATATAGTCATATAATCAGATCCAACCTAGTGGCTGGGAATGAGGATACTTGCAAGGGACAAGAGTGGATGGATGGTGAGTATGAAGAAGTGGAGGAAAACTAGTTACTTGAATCAAGTGGCATGTATTGTATTATAGTACCTCAGGAGTGATAAGCAAGAGCTACCTGACCAAGATGAAAAGTTAGACTTGGGATAGGAAAGGCCAAAATATAGGCTGTGACCACCACCCCCCTCAAAAGAAATTAAAATCCATGTCTGCTTTCTCTTCTAAGGAAGAGTTGTATCAGTTGTTTGATAAAGTATTGTAGTGTGAAGTAACTGGCTAGAGAGATAATCCAGGTGCTGGGTTGAAATGATTCCCAAAAGTGCAAGAAAAGATCAGATAGTTATTTACCTGGCATTGGGGACAGGGTGGGTGGGGGGGACAAGGCTGATAGAAAATCCAGTACTGAAATGCACTTTTTTATGGTTTTGCACCAATAAAAGCTGAAAAAAAATGCCGTGTACTCCTTCACGCTTAGATCATCCAAATAAAAATATTGTTAAAGGGAACCCTTATCAGCAGGATTAAAGAATGAGAAATTAGACTACTTCTGATGTCATTATTGACAGGTAAGGTGCGTCATGAGCAGGTTTGTCGGTTTCGGCTGCCACAGCAGCTAAAAGAGAGCAGAAGCAGAAGAAAAAATACAATAAAATAACAATGACAATACAATAGCTAGATGTAATGCCAGTTGTTGAGAGACTGGGACTGAATCCAGAGGACCGCGGTGCCTTCAGCTGCCACCGGGGGGCGCGAAACACCGCTCGCGGTTTGGGACTGGGAGGCGCTGGGGAAGGTGATGCGGAGGCGGCCCTTCGCACGGTCAGAAGTTGTTGAGGGGGGGGGGTTGAGTAGCGGTGGTAGCAGCCCCGCGTAGAGACGCTTCAACCCAGCTAGGCCCCGGCCAGAGGTCGGATAGCGGGCCGCGACGTTGGCGGCGCCTTGTTGTGGCGTGTAGCGAGAGTGGGGAGGGTGGCGATGCGGTCGGTTGGAGCCGAACTCCACGGCGGGGGTCACTTCTTGTTAGTATTGGCCGATTTTGACGACGTCTCCAAAATGTCCCGGGAACCAGGTAACCTTGTGCCGTACGGCCCGCCGAAGGACCGGGGTAGCGCGAGGACGGCTGCTGGAAATGTTCCCGCGGGGCAGAGAAGAGCCTCCGTGGCTGTTGCGGTGGAGAGGAATTGAGATGCGCAGGTCGAGCCCCGCCTCTTTGGCTCCGCACAGAATAACAGGACCTCGGAGGTCTTCTAGTCCAGGGGTCTCCAACCTTGGCAACTTTCAGACTTGTGGACTTCAACTCCCAGAATTCCTCAGCCAGCAAAGCTTTGCTGATTTGACTGAATTCCTCAGTCAAAAAGCTTTGCTGGCTGAGGAATTCTGGGAGTTGAAGTCCACAAGTCTGAAAGTTGCCAAGGTTTGGAAACCCCTGTTCTAGTCCAACCTCCTGGTGAAGCTGGACATCCTTCCTAAGCCATTCCAGACAAGTGAAGTGGCTGTCCGGTCTCTTTTTTTAAAAAAGCCTTTAAAAAGATGGGACGGCAGGGAGCCTCTGGTTGTCCTTTCTGGAGCCGCTTATCCTGCAGGGCAGGGAGCGCACAGGTGAGATCCTCACACCCTTGGGAGCCTGGCGGTGCTTCTGAAAAGATGAGTTCAAATCAAGGGATGTCCAGGAAACATGTCAAGGGCTTGTTTGGTAATAGTAATGAAAGTTATATTGATTACCCAACTCACTATCTGAGGTAATAAAAATCTTCACTTTCAGGAGGTTCTAAAGATGCGGTACAACTACATATAGCAGTGCTTCTCAATCTTGGTAGCTTGAAGATGGGTGGACTTCAACTCCCAGAATCCCCCAGCCAGCAGCGCTGCTTGGGGGATTCTGGGAGTTGAAGTCCAGCCATCTTCAAGCTTCCAAGGTTGAGAAACATTGACATATAGGCATGGTCTCATTTAACTTAACCGATGTCCCATTTGTCTTACTAAGTTAGAGCACATTTAACTTAACAAAGCTTATTTCTGAAATATATAACATCATAGATAATGTGTGTAAAATAGGTTCTTGGCACGTTGACTGCAGAGATGTAAAGCTTCAGGAACTGAAATTTGTCAGCAGTTGTTGCCACCGTAGGAGAATGAGAGTGAACAATGTCTTGACAGCATGATGACAACACAGTAGCTCATCATTATGATCCAGAAATGAAGCAGTCACAAAATAATGTCACTAAAATGTCACCTGTGTGTGTGTGGGGGGGGATCAAAACATAGACTTCAGCAGGAAAACTCGTGGTTACATTTTTTTGTGACAGATTATTCTAATAGTATGGATTTCTTTGAACCTGGTATGTTTATCAACTCAGAATATTGAATATTATAACTTTTAAAACTGTTTAAGAAGTGTTCGGAAGCAAATAAGGAACTTTTGCTATAATATAAGAATGTTAGGTCTCCCACCTCACAAGCCACCCAAGAGGCTATTATGAAGTTGGATTTTGCCATTATACCCATCCCAATTTAGTGCAGAACTGGAAACATGCAACTTCCACCTTTCCCCAAAATTGAAAGAATACCTTCAAGGGCATCTGACTCAAATGAAGAAGTAGCAATAATTTCAGTCTCTAATTGAAGACACAAAGCACGTAATTTTTTCATGATGGCTTTAAGAAGCTTGTCTGGAATTGGTAGAAATGTATAATGAATGATGGTGCGTATGTGTGGAGAAGTAAATACAAGTAGTAAATACATCCCTTTTTAAATTAAAGATATGGAGGTGGAGTCATTGCTTTTCATTCAACCCTTATTGCTTAATTTCAATACTGCGTATGCCATTGGGCAATTTAGTTAGTTAATTTACTTTATTGATTAGCCCATGTGCCATATCAAAGTGCAGAGTTCCAAACACAAATTATTACTAAAATCTGATAAAAACAATTTAAAGTGGAATTGGAATAAAATGCAATTTAAAATGAGATTGGAATAAAATACAATAATATATGGATAAATAAAATATGATAAAATTATATTTCATTGTCACACCTACAATCTACCCCAATCGGTCCCACATATGCTGATCTCAACCGAACCATTTTGCTCCATCAAGCAATAGTTTTGATTCATTTTGCCCTGCATTATATTTAGACTGAGGTTTCGTAAATGTCTGTGTATTTTCTGAATTTTATTATATGTAAAATATATGTTGTGATATATATGTCACAAATCACAAGTACAGTATTTATTTTACAGAAGTAAAGTTGGTGGTCCTCAATTTAACACAGTTAAAAAGGAGGGGGGGAAGCAAAATGCTCATATGTAATGAGCATTTAGCTTCCCCCCCTTTCTAATTGTGTGTTTGATTGAGGACCACCAGCTTTACTGTAAAATAAGTAGTTGTGATTTGTGAGAATAAACATGAGATTAGACATTGTGGTTCTGAGATGTCAGATCTTTCTAATATTCAGCTTGTGGGGCATCTGAAATGTATGTTAAAATAGAAAATTGTGCATTCAAAAGAGTTGCTGTATGTTTTGCATCTTATCTATACCTTGAGGAACTTTGGGGGGGGTATCTCAGAAGGTTGCCTTTTTTATTTATGATTGGCATCTACATTGTGAAGGGGATTTCGTGAAACACAATGAAACAGGTGCACAAACATTTTCTATAAGAATGCTCTTGTGCCATCAGCCATCACACTCAAATAGGAATCACTACTTCTTCTCAAAGTGGCCATTCAGAATAATTTAATTGATGATTAATATTTTATGCACTACTGTAAGAATAGCCATGTGAATGCACAAGCCTCTGAAGTTTTAATTTTAACGTTTTATTATCTTTTGTCATACTGTGTTTATACATACAGTAAATAGTCTGCATCTTAATATAAACACCTCATATTATATCAGTCATCGTTCATTATGTTCAGTTTGACAATATACTATAAATTTTCATTTTTAGCATGCTTAACATCTTCTGGAATAGCCTCATAAGTGAATGAGATTATCTCCAGGTTTAGCATTTAAATATTTTGTAAATTTAGATCTGAATATTCTAAGTCAGTGGTCCTTTTTGGTTATGGTATTTTATGATTCAAAGCTAGGAAATGGAAACAAAATTGATCCTGGTATTTCTGTTATGCCTGTTAAATATATGGTATATACATTTCTGTTTTTACAGGCAGTATTACTCCAACAGTGAAATTGACTGGTCTTGAAATGAAAAGAGGGGAGCCTGCCATCTCTATACCATTAGATCAAAAGCTAGCCCCAGCTACAGAGCAAATTATAATTTTTGTGGCATGTACGATTGGAGGTTTGTGCATTTTAATTATATTTAATTATTGTAGCTCCAATAGCATTGTAAAATGCCAACAGATTTTAATCGTTTAAATTTTGTATGCTGCATTTCATTATTTGATACCTACTTCAAAGTAGGTATTATTTGATACCTACTTCAGGTATGCTTTAGTTTCCGAAGTTTCAGAAAATGAAACAATTTCTCCATCTCAGTAGATATACATATATATATATCTCACATTCTTTGGTTTGCAAATTTTGTTATTCAATAGCACTTGGTGTTTTTTTTAAAAAAAACTCTTCATTTCACATTTTACAAATTCTTCCGTTCAAGACATTAGTGCAAATAGATGGGCTATAGTCACTGTGTATGAATAGATAACCTTCCTGACTAATCTCTACACTAAAATAAATAACCATTTATGAAAGTGAATTGTACAGGCAAATGTGACAATAGAGAATGTTTAGGACATATTTGAGTTTCCTTTTCTGCTATCAGATGACATGTGATTTCTCAGCACTTTGAGCCAATTAGGAATTTCTGTATCGTTAGTATGGTTTGTAACTTAGTCATCTAAAACAGAGCTAGCTGCACAGTTCTTTTTTAAAAAAAACCTAATCCTTCAATTGATTCCTGAGTGGTAGGCTAGTTGCATTTAAAAAAAGAAGTTGGGGCCAAAGAAGTTGAAAGGCCAAGGCTTTAATATAAATTTCTTATATCGAATAAATAAGAAAAACAGTTTGGACTGTACTGAAGGTTTAAGAACCTTGAGGCCTTTCATCCTTTGCATGCTTTTTTCTGCCAATTGTTAATTTGTTGAGAAAACTGAGGCTGCATTCATATGTCATGATAGTAATACAGAATACCTGTGCTACATTATAATGATCACATAGGACTCAGTTTCAGAACTTAATTTACTTAATTATCTTTGTATAGGACCAGCATATGCTGGCGGCTCAGCAGACTAAAAGCATCGTGATTAACACCAGCTGTCTGCAATTACTGTAAGTTCAAATCCCACCAGGTTCAAGGTTGACTCAGCCTTCCATCCTTTCAAAGGTAGGTGAAATGAGGACCCAGATTGTGGGGGCAATAAGCTGACTTTGTATAAATATACGACAGTATGAAGGCTATTGCTTAACGCATTGTAAGCCGCCCTGAGTCTCCAGAGAAGGGTGGCATATAAATCAAATCAAATCAAATCAAATCAAATCAATCAAATAAATAAATAAATAATAAATAAATAAATTTGGGAGTGGGACACAGTCAGGTAGGGAATGATCTGGCTATATGATCAATGAATTAAAAATCTTTGTGCTCTTGTCTGGAGTCATAACTTCAAGATTATCTATATATTGTATAAAAATTGAACATAAGAATCAGTTCAAGACCAATGAAAATCTGCTTACACCCAAAGAAGTAGAGACTCAGTATGGCTTGAAGAAATGATGTGGGAAGCTCATGAAAGTGCTGTCACAAAGCTTGTGCTCATGGTTTCTATTTGCCTAGAATAATATGAAAGTCAATCAAAAAGCTTTGAAAACAATGGTTATTTATTCATGCGAGAAGTGAAGTTTACAGGATCAATTGTCACTCTTGATTATATTTAGAAAATAGTATAACTTAAAATAATTCTTATTGGCCACCAGAGGGCAGTATGAATTTATTATTTGTTTTTAACTTCTACAGAAGCTAAGGCATTTTTCAACAGACTATTCTTTACAGGAGATGTCAGGAAAGTTAAAGAAAACAGCATTTGGTTTATTTACCACAGAGGTATTTTTAATCTATGACATTATTTCCTGCAAAATGCCTGTTTAGTACTATACCTATACAATTCTTTATTTTCTTTCTCTCCTCCTTCCATACTGTGTCATTTCTCAACATATTTCACATATATTGAGCATCTGTGGCTTAACAAGTACACAATGGTCATTTCCCCAAATCCTTGCAACAATTTAACTTTAGTCTGTAAAATTATAGATTCTGTTGAGCTTCATTCAGAGGATAGGAAGGCTAAATTAGAAGGCATCCAAAACTAGGGACCGGGGAAAAACTTCCATTATGAGGACAACCATAGAGGAGAAAGAGGGTTGGGGTTTTAATAGCTGGAATATTAACGAAACTGGGTTTTAGGTGAAACATAAAATAACTTTGAATTCAGAGAAGATTTCCCCAACCTGATATCCTCTATAGTTAACAAAAGCATTCTCTGGATTTTCTCTGCCAATGTATCAGTGGTTAGACTGGTTTGTGAATTTTTGGATTTTAAGTTCAGCACATTTGGAAGGTATCAGGTTCAGGAAAATTGAGATCAGTGCTTTTTAATGAGATAGTGTTTGGTCAGTGAAGCCCCTGGCAGCTCATGTTCTTATGTAATTCAAGAGCCCATGCAGTTGGACTCTTGCATGACACGATCTATAGGACTGGGACTGAGGATAACTCAGCAAAATGCAGCAGCCCAGCTGTTATCAGGTAGGATCCACTACTATAGAGTAACAGCTATTTTATTGTTGCTATACTGGCTTTCAATAGACTCCCAGGCTCAATTCAGTAGTACTTGTTGTCACCTATAAAGCCCTGTACAGATAGTCCCCACACAAAGTGCCCCATTTAGTGATTATTTGAAGTTACAGTGGCACTTAGAAAGTAATTTTACAAGTGGTCTACCCACTTACGACATTTAGAGGATTAGCAGTCATATGATCACCATTTGTTACACTTCATAGCTGGCTTCTAACAAGCAGAGTCAATGCAGAAGCCAGCAATAAAATGGCAAATCATGGTCACATGATGTCTTGCTTAATGGCTAGTTGATTCACTTAACACCTAGGAAAGGTTGTAAGGGTTGTAGTCATGTAATCTCACTTAACAACCGTTAGCGACTGTATTACCGGTCCCAGTTGTGGTTGCTAAGAGTGTGTGATGGCAAGTTTGATTTACCTTGTTCAGAATAAATCTGCCCATCCTGTCAGTTCATCTAAATAGAGATTACTGAGAGTTTTCGCCCATTAATAGGTAAAAAGTATGAAGATTAGAATGCTTTCTTGATTATGAGTCATACTACAGAATTGTTTGGATCCCTTGCTCCTGGATTTCAGGAATAATCTCAAAGCCTTTCTTTTTCACCCAACCTTCAAAGCTGAAGCCTAGTTGTTTATGTTGTCTTCCATCTTGTATATACAAAGGGAAAGCTTGCTTAAATGTGGGATGGGTGATATAATGTGAGGCTTTGTTTTTAAGATTGTTATTGCAGTTGGGGCAAATACATAAGAATTCCCAGTCAGAATTCTGGGAGCTGTGTTCTCATAACATCAGAGGGAACATAACATGTTGGGGAAGTAAATACGAAGATAAGTAAAGAATAATGGCCGATTATAAGAGTTGTACTTTTATAAGTAAATATAAGGATTATCCCAGAATTTACACAATTTATGTTCTCCCTTCCTAAAAAAAAGAGAATCTTTTTTGTGAAAAATTTTATTCCACAACTGAAAATATACTTATGAATGTAGAATAGCATTTATATTTATTTATCCCCTCTTGCCTGGTTTTTCTTTTTTTTCCATCTCTTTCTTGTCTTTGCTACAGACAGATTGCCTAGGATTTTTTTGATTTCAGATTTTATTTTTGTTTCTTTGACTTACATAATATTCTATAAACATTAGTAATATTTTAAATGAATTATATTGCATATATTAATGTAAATTAAATTACCGGCATCCTATTACAATTTCTAAGCCATGGAGAGAGGAGTAATCTGGCTTCAAGATTGCAGAAGTATAAAACATGATAGTGGGGGAGATCTTGAAATAGGCCATAAAGATTGAGTACGCTCAGTGGGCATAGAATGTTGATATGTTTGCAGTTATACGTGTAAATAAATAAAGTTAACAACAACAAAAGTAGAACATGATTGAAGTACAATAACCCTTTTTTCCAGGACATTTTGTCTTTCAGTGAATACGGTACTTTTTATATCTAGATCATTGAGTTATATGTAATCAAAACAAACCCTCTGCTAAACTTTTGACTCTACAATTTAATTTTTTCTCATGAAAAGCTTGGGCTTTCTGATGCTTGCTCTTGTTCATTCTAACTTTTAAGCATTATGTAATAGGAAAACATTCATCTTAATAAGTTGTCCGAATTATCCTGATGTACCAGTATATAACGTCAATAGGGATAAATATAATACTAAATTAAAGGGTTGAAATGCTTTGTTCTCTTTCCTTAAGTAGCCAGTATGGTGGCAAATACAGTGTTGTTTTTAGGGTACGAAGATGATATTGTAGTAAGATATACAGTATTTTTTATATTCTTCTGTTTTGAAAATTTTGAAATATTTAGAAAATTGTCTTTCTAACCACTGGCATGGTGGTAATCTTGTTCATGGAAAAGTTTTATGTGCTGAAATAGATAAGAGAGCTAAATAATCAATGACATAGATTCTGTCTTTTTTAGTTTGAAAAAGAAACTTTTTAATTTTTTGCCTACTTCTGATCCCAACTGCCATCATAACTCAAGGACTACCTTTATAAGAAGTAATGCATTTTTTTTCAAAAAAAAAAAATGCACTACACATAGGAAATCTGAATCCAAAGTATATTTGCATAATTTGTAATACAACTACATAATGCATTCAAAAACATGAATTTACTTGAAAGGGTAAATGTGTATTGTCCTCTATCTCAGATGTGAGAATATACCTCTTTTCCTTGTAAATTTCTATCAGCTTATGAAAGGTATATCTCTGCATTATATGGATAGAGTGCTTCTTAAATATATCCTAACCAGTAAGTCCAAAATTAATATAGTATGACATAATGTCACTACATATTATTTCAGACGGTGATCACATGAACCCGGGACACTGCAATTGTCATAAATATGAGTCATTTGCCAAGTACCTGAATTTTGATCAGGTGTCCATGGGATGGTCCAATGGTCAAAAGTAATGATGTTTTGCATGCATACAAAGTTCCTTTAGATCCCAGGTAAAACGTGGTGTAGAAACTGCGATCATATAGATAAATTAATATGTTTTAGGAGAAGTAGGTCTTGTTTTTCTTCCTATACACACACTCTCAAACACTGCTTTGGGGTTCTTTCCAGTGGTGGGTTCCTCCCGGTTCGGTCTGGTTCAGCCGAGTCGGTAGCAGTGACAATATGACATCACCGAACCGGTTCTCCCCCCCGCCCTCCCACCCCCCCCACGTTATTCCCACCCCCCCCACGTTATTCCCACCCCCAATCTATTGCTGCCTCCTGAGTCCCAGCTGATGACTAGAGGGAAAAAAACTGTTTAAACTCTTGCCGCGGGGCTTCAAATGGCCGTCCTGCAGTTGATCAGTGTTAAAAGCAAACAAATGAGTCGGGTCGTAAGTGCGACGACTGGTCGTAAGTGCGAGGACCTTCCAGAAATGACTCTGACCAGCTAGCCACGCCTACCTAGTCACATGACCTCCAAGCCACACCCACAAAATAAGCCATGCCCACAGAACCGGTAGTAAAAAAATTTAGAACCCACCCCTGGTTCTTTCAGCTCTGGAACAAATTAGTTGCTTCTCCTTTTTGCTTCAGCTTTAGTCTTCTAAAAGGTGCAGTTTATTAAAAAAAATTGAAGGATCACATAAATTGACTCTGGTCTGAAGAGTGAACTAAGCTCTTTTGTGCCATTGATCAGCTATAGATGGATGTGAATTCTATAGGAAAAAAGTCACTTGTTGAGATGGGCAGCTATAGGAATCAAATAAATAAAACAAAACAAAATATAATTTCTGCTAATTGAATGTTATTTGTATTTCTGTTTATTTTTTAATTGTTACTTTATGGTCTTCATTGTACAATTAAAATTGTACAAGCTGGATCTGCTGAACAATCAATTCGTTGTACAATCAAAATTAAGCAAGCTGGATCTACTGAAAACCATTTTAAATTCTTCCATAGCAACAATTGCGATCGCAATTGTGATCTTAGCTACATGACTGTGCCTTGAGGTCAAAATAAATAGTCAGACGCCTTTAATCTACTTTATAAATGTCCCTTAATTATGTCATTATATAACTAGATCAGAGAAGTGTTTAATAATACTTTGTTCTTTGAAACAAAGAGGATCATTTTTTTACAAATAAGCGCACACAAACAGACACACACACACACACACACACGCGCACCATTGGATATACCATATACCCAATGTGATAAACTGCATGGCTATGAATGAGTGACCCTGTGCTAAAAGACAGTTACAGAATAAAGCTTTTCTGAAGAGTATCAGAGAACATTTCCTCTAATAGATTTCTATGAGATGTTCCAGTTTTCTTCAGAGGTTCTTCTCTGGACATTCCTGCTGAGGAATGTTAGATGCTTGACTCCAGCAAAAGGTCTTTTTCACTTACAGGTACCTACTTGTAGAAAGACCTCCTAAAAGACCCGGAATTGATTCTCCTTTTATTCAGGACGTTAGTTTTCTGGCATTTTTATAGCATTTGGATACTTTTTAAAGTTCTCCTGCTATTTTAAATAGTCCTAGTTTAGCAACTGCTTCATTTAGCAATTCTTCACAGTTACACAGTGATGATGAAAAACTAGCTTTACAAAAACTAGCTCCAGTCTTTGCATTTACAACCTTTGCAGGTCTGTAAAGCAAAAGAAAGCTGAAGTCAGATGATAAGCAGAGTTGTGGTTTCAGAGACCACTTTGTTTAATAACTTGAGTTGCCAATCCCAATTATGGTCACTAAATGAGGACTATCTGTAATGTAATTTACTTACAGAATTGCCGTCATCATATTGATTAAAAACGTTATAATAATTTTTTTGAAAACAAAATTTTCAGGACATTTCTTTTATGCTTTATTTTGTCAATAAATGTTTTGCAGTAAAAATGAAGAATCTTTGAATACCTCAGAAATAATGTGGTACAAATATATTTATCCAGGAACTTCATAAATAGGCAATTCAGAAAAATGCTAAAGGAGACAAAGTACATAACTCTAGTTTTATATTGCAAATTATGATATGAAAAGAAAATGGAATTAAATACAAGCAGTTCATACCGCTTTGAAATTTTACCTATTTTGTTAGAAGGTTTGTAAAACATCTATTCTTCAAGGAATGTTGATGCCATAAAGCAGGGGTGTCAAACTGGTGGCCCGTGGACTGGATGTGTCATGTGCAGGCCACGCCCACCCCAGCTCAGTGAATGGGGAAAACATTGCAAAACATCTTGTGACAGCAAAGTGACGTGGTATGTTTGACACCCGTGCCATAGAGATATCTGAAAAAATATGGGAAATGCAATACTTTACTTTTTATATTTAGTGGCCATGCATGGAGAATTCTTAAGGCATATTTAGTATGCAAGTAATATTTGGCTAGAAATATAGGATTGATTCAGCATGTTTCTTTCATATGACATCATACTCCATTAAAATTATAATAAACACAAATTTTGTTTGCCTCTGTGGCAAACCAAAATTAGTTTTGTAATTGCCAACAGACCATAACAATTTATTTAATTACAATGGCGCCTAATCACACCAAGTTGAAGGCATATTATAAATCCCCTTTCAGATGCTAAGAACTAGTTGTAAACATTCTTCGTTGCTTAAGAGCTTTATGCTGGATCATAGCTTAGAAACTGAGTTTCAGTTTAATATTTTTAGATCTTAAATGGTCTCTTATTAGTGGTCTCCCAAAATAGTTGCCTACTTTGAGAATTTATTTTAAACTTTGTTAAAGTAATTTACAAACCTTATGCTAAATGCATTGGGAGTGGGACCTTTGAATCTTACCCAGGCCCTTTGATGAAATTTTCAATTATACTAGTAGGTTTGCCCATGGGTGAAATGTAAAATGTGTTACTACCAGTTCTGTGGGCGTGGCTTGGTGGGGGGAGGTAATGTGACTGGGTGGGCGTGGCCAACTTTAAAAAAAAAACTTTTCAAAGCATTTTTTCTAATGCTTTGAAAATCCTCTGCCGATCAGGCAACTCAGCTGGGATCGTCAGAGAGGTTTTTTAAAAAATGCCTCTCTGCCGATCAGGCAACTCAGTCAGAAACTTTTCAAAGCATTTTTTTTTACCACCTCTTCGGCCAAGAGGTTGTAGAAAAAAATGCTTTGAAAAGCCTCTGAGGATCCCAGCTAAGCTGCGCGATCATCAGATCATTTTTACTTTTAAAAGCATTTTTTCGTCGGAAGAGGTTGTAGAAAAAATGCTTTTAAAAGTTTTTTTTAAAAAAGCCTCTGATGATTGTGCAACTCAGCTGAGCATGGTGGGCGGTCACAGGGATTTTTGCTACCGGTTCTCCAAACCACCACCCGCCATCGCTACCGGATTGGGCGATCTGGTCCGAACTGGGAGCATTTCACCCCTGGGTTTGCCACAGAAAAAATTGTCTGATCATTATTGCCACTCCAATGCTTCAAAAAATGTCACATTAAGATAGTGTGAGTAATGGCTTCAGGAGAGTCACAGTTCACTTACGTATTACCGTAATTCTCTTGGTAGTCATTCATAAAACCGCTGCTTGGATTATTTAGAAACATATACTAGAAAAATGAACACCCTAATTAACAACTAAAGCCACACATCATATAAATACAACATGTAGAACAGCCCAGTGCACATATTCTGGAGAGAGAGAGATGTTCCCTGATGATGGGCTCCAACATGAGTCTGAAAGTTTGGAAGAATAAACCTTTGATTCAGGTGACCGGCTCAGATTGGATCCTGCAGAAAAGTTTGGATTAGATTGATCTTGAAATTTGCTGGTTAAGTATTTCGAGTCTACATTAAAAAATCATCTTTCCTGAATTTTTTAGAAGCACAAAATAATATGAATGATAAAACTACAACTGCAAAAAAAAAAAAATCATCATACACTGAAATGTAGTTTGGGAAAAAATGGGGGGGAAATGATAGTTTGTATCCAGCCAAAGCATTATAACCAGATCTTAGCTCCTTGTGATATATTTCGTTTATAATTTATGTACAAATTGCTTAGTATGTGGATTTGACGTACAGTGAGAAACACTTCCCCCATATTTTTTTTCTTAGATACCACCACCCACTGCCTAAGGTTTTCTATGTTCAATTAACTGGAGGTGAGCGTGAGTTTTTTGGTGAAGGAAAGACTCTACAAGTTGCTAGACACAATACTGCAATAAAGCTCTTCAGAATGAGCCAATCCCTCCAAAATTATCTTAGGTGAGTGGTTTATTTTTGTCCTCTAAACACAGTATGCACGCATTTTTAATTTATATATTTAAGTGATGTAATTGTATGGAATAGAATTTGGAGGAAAGTTGGACTTTGCTGTTCAGAGAAAATGTACATACACATCGGCACACATGAGCCAGTGAAGTGGAATGTTGGATTAGAGCCAAACTCTTACTAGATTTACTACCAAGCCTTCTGCCTCCCTTATCAGCATTTGTTTCAAGTCTTAATTTTGTACTTTGTTGTCAGATATCATGTTTCTTATAGATCACCAGTCTCAGTCTAGTGCTTTGGTATGTGGCTAGAGTTCTGTGACCCGATTGACTCTTCCATTTCTATGAGCATGTTGAAGGTTCTTCTAGGGAAAAAAAAACCAGTTGTTCTTAAGCTTCATCACTGTTGATTTTAGCATTAGGACCACAGAACTGCAATTCCCCACCATGCACGGGGCAGACCAATTTGAAAAAGAATGCTTTAGCTGTCAGTTATGTGGCATTCAAAAATGATGGTGGAATCTATGTGGAAATATTGCTTTTTTGTATAAAGATCTATATATAGTCATTTTTATTATTGTAATGTAAATAATCATGATATATACGGTACCTTTATTTCAATGTAGATTTCAATGCAGTAATTTTTATATGGTTAAAAGTATTAACATTCTACTATTTAAAAACATTAATTAAACTAAAAAGAGAAAAGTAAAATTCTATCACGATTAATTATCATTTAGGTATCAGTGAATTAATTACCTAATATTGAGATCTCCATTGTATTGTTACTTAATGTGTGTATATAGCTAGGTATGGGGTAATATATTGTGTGTGTGTGTGTATCTGTCTGCCTGTGTATGTGTGTGTGTGTATACACACACATATACATGCACTTGCACACACACGCAGACGCACACATACATATATGAAGCAAGTTTACCAAAAATTAAATAATAAAATTATCAGATCTTGAAAAAAATCTTTATGGGTTGTGTGTTATATTTAGTCGTAATAGAGGCATTATCCAATTGAATGCCATTCCATGAAAAACATCAGAGACATTATAGGGAAGGAGAATTATATTTAATCATAAAATTCTACTGTATTTTGTTTGTTGGGAAAATAATTATTAATGCACTTTGAAATAATATCTCTGTGACTTCTAGTTTCAGTTAAAGCATTACAGGAATGCTTTCATGCCCCAAAAAATAAAAATAGAGAATGCTACATCAACTGATCCCAACTACCTACTCTTAAGAATTTGCTTCCTTCAGATCTTCTAAATGATGACATTTTAATGTTTTTCTGCATGAGAATGAGATTACAAAAACATTTTGACTGAGCTTCAGAACAGCTGTCAGATGGTTTTAGGCAGTCTATTAATCCTTTGGTGTATCACTGAGCAGTTGTATGAGCCTATAGTTTTGTTATTCTTCCCGCCTGCTCCCCCGCAGAATTTTTCTAAAATTGTGAAAATATTGTGAAAATACATAGGACTAAAATAAAAGGACTAGAATAATAAGATTTCTATATTTACAGAAATTTCTAAATGAAGATGAAAGGAACAGAATAGATTGGACTTTTGAAAGTAGATGAAGGTAGTCTTATTTTCTCTCATGCTATTTCCAGATTTAAATTATTAGTTTTTTTAGGTCCTGCTCGGGAAATTTCTCTGATTGCTAAACGGATTGGAAGGAGTTGGAGAACTCTTCCTTATAGCCCTGTTAATGTTAATTCTCCCTATCCTTGAGTCAGAAGGAAAGTATATTGACATAAGTTGCGTTGCTCCTACAGCCTTATTTTAAGTGCCTCAGCATCAGGGCTGGGCAGCATTGGTATCCTCACATGAGTCAGTGGGAACAGTTCCACCAAGGGTATTGTCCTTTCCTATTCCATCCAGCATCACCTGCCGGCAGAGAACCCAACTACCAATTTATCTCCTGAATGTGCAGCACATCAGGTTTGGGGATTAAAGTCCTTTTAAAAAAATTACTTAAGTTTTAATTGTTATTATTATTGCATACTCATTTTGTAAATCAATTTCATAGATACTCCCCCCCCCCCCAAAAAAAATGTCTGAATAATCGAAAGAATTTATTTGAAATACAAAGCAGAAAAACTCAAGTCAAAACACTCTCAGTGCTGTTATTACTCTCTGGATCAATGTTATCTTTCTCCCTCCTGAGATCAATTTTATGAGGAAATCCCTTTTGATTAGGCAAAAGGCCTCTTTTCTTTTCACTTCCTGTTCTTCCTTTGAGTGTGTGAATTTCAAGGGCTTTCCTGAATTGATGATCATCCCAGCACACGCATATGCATGTGACTTACACACACAGCCAACAGCATGTTTTCTGACTGACTTATTGCTTAGTGTTATTCCATCGTAAAAAAAAAGAAGACCCTTTTTGCAGCCAAAAATGCCCAAGGAGGTACAATGCCTGGCAATCCAATAGAGAGAGAGCATTTCTAGTAGTCTGGCAGATCACTGTCCCTGAGTAGCTCATCTCCAAGCTTGTCCTAGTGTCATCTTAGATTACTACTGTTAAGGACGGCTCTAGGCTGCCTTAGCAGTGTATTGGGGATGACATGAAGAGAAGGTTAAAAGGACACATCTCTCAAAAACAATTAGCAAAACACATTTTTGCAGTGACATGCATGCTGTGAGTCTGAGCCCTGAGAAATAACGCCTTTCCTTCAGCACTCAGTACAACTTACCTGACTTTGAGTAGCCGCTTTTAACTGGAAATACTGAATTCTGAACATGGATCTCTCATACTCCATCTAGCATGGGGTATATATAATGGCTGGATATCGTAGTGGTTAGAGCATCACCATCAATGGGGGAGGTTCTAATCCCAGTTGGTATCTACCTAGGTGATCTGTCCCCGTCTCCACACACACACAAACACAGCCAGCCGAGGGTTAAGAAAGCACTTGGCACGCACACAGGTCGTTATCTCAAACTTGGCAACAATATAAGCACCGTCTGCCAAGAGCTTTACTTCAACAGATAACATAACATTACATACGCATTGTAAATAGTCCAGCAAAACAGTATCCCTTCGGCAGCTTCAGGCGTTGTTCAAGTGACTAGCCAGAGTTAGTTTTTGTTCGTCACAGAGTTTTACCAGCCACCACCCTCTCTTATATAGTCTCTGGGGTGTGGTCCAGTGACTCAGTTCTAATCCCTAGCACGCCTCCTTAACTGCTGCAACCGTTTATCACGCCTTCGTTGGCGTGCATCCAGGAACGACGGCTCTCCTTCCTCGCTCTCATCAGAGACACCTGGCTCCTGGCTAATCTCTCCCTCGGCCGGCACCTGAGACAGTGCCAGAGGGGAGGGGCCTGGAGAGGGAGGCCTGGCTGACTCCTCTCCCTCATGTTCGGAGCCCTCTGAGATAGGCTCAGAGGGCGGGGCCACAACACTAGGGTCCTTGGGCAAAGATCCTCTAAAACTCCACATGCCTACCTCAAATATGACAGTGACACAAATCAAGAAGGTAATGCCATTTCAGCCATCACCAGGATTAACAAGGTCTACCTCAGATGTTGAGAACCAGGGACAATCTGATGATAAGTGTGCTACTGGAACTAACCATACATGGATGAGACAAGGGAACCTGGAATTGAGGGAATGCTACTACAAGAGTAGACATAAGGATAAAAGATATAGCAGCTGTATGAGGGAAGTATGGATGGATAGAAGAACTAGCTAATTATTCCACATGTCAATATAGTGAAGAGGAAGCTGCTCTCACAACTTGAGTCACCCACAAATAAACGTATATTCTGAGCTGTACTATATCAGCATTGACTAAACGGTCTCATATCTTGGGATTCATTTTTCAGTTAGTATGAAGAAAATTGGATTACTTGCCTACGGAACAAAATGAAATGAGTTTAAATTCGGCATATAGTGCAATACAACCCTGAATATTTTTCTTTTCAGAAAACCACAATATAATATATTCTACTCCTTTTTCAAAAAAACACAGACTTCAGAGGATAATTAGAACTGCAGAAAAACAATTGCTACCAATCTGCCTTCCATTGAGGACCTGTATACTGCACGAGTCAAAAAGAGGGCTGTGAAAATATTTACAGACCTCTCGCATCCTGGACATAAACTGTTTTAACTCCTACCCTCAAAATGACGCTATAGAGCACTGCACACCAGAACAACTAGACACAAGAACAGTTTTTTCCCAAACACCATCACTCTGCTAAACAAATAATTCCCTCAACACTATCAAACTATTTACTAAGTCTGCACTACTATTAATCATCTCATCATTCCCATCACCCATCTCCTCCCACTTATGACTGTATGACTGTAACTTCTTCTTCGGAGAAAGGCGGCATACAAGTTGAACAAACAAACAAACAAACAAACAAACAAACAAATAAAAATAAACTTTGTTGTTTGTATCCTTACGATTGACTGTTTTCTAATATGATTAGAATATGATAGAATATATAATATGATTTCTAATATGATTTGATTGCTTATTTGTACCCTATGACTATCATTAAGTGTTGTATCTTAAGATTCTTGATGAACGTATCTTTTATGTACACTGAGAGCATATGCACCAAGACAAATTCCTTGTGTGTCCAATCACACTTGGCCAATAAAATTCTATTCTGTTCTGTTCTGTTCTGTTCTGTTCTATATATCACTTATACATTTGTGACATTGTGAAAACAAAGAAAGCTAATTATGAAAGGGAAAATTCCTTAGGATTTTTCCAATGAAAATTTAGTCCTTCTTAGAAATAATCCTAAATCTCCAGTTTTCCAGTGCCCTAAAGAGAAATGGACAACTAAGCTTTACTGAGTCTGCTTTGGAAAGAGGCAGATGAAATACTTTTATTCTTCTCTTGAATTCAGTAGTGTCGTCCATCCTTTGGACAACATCTCTTGCTTACCTATTTTAATCCTATTTAATATTTATGTTCATTCCTAATATTTAAAATTCTTTATATGTTGCAGAGT